AGTATGTTCCTCTCTATTTTTTGAATAAAACATGATATCATTGATAAATAAAATGATGAACTAATCTAGAAATTGTCTGAAAATCCTGTTCATCAAATCCATAAAGATGGCTGGTGCGTTGGTTCTAAATGCAACTAGGAACTCATAGTGTTCATATCTGGTTCGGAAAGCTATTTTGAGAATGTCTTCTGCTTTAATGTTTACCTAATGGTAACCTGAACGCAAATCTATTTTGGAGAAGATATGAGCACCCTGCAACTGATCAAAAATGTCATCGATCTTGGGGATGAGGCACTTGTTTTTTATCGTGACCATGTTCAGTCCCCTATAGTCAATATATAACCTTAACATCCCATCCTAATTCCTTACAAATGTGACTCCAGCACCCCAAAGGGACATATTATGCTGGATGAATCCACTGTCCTACAATTTCTTGATCTATTTCCTCAACTGTTTTATCTCTACATGACTCATGCAGTAAGGAAAAACTAAGATAAGCTGCATGCCAAGCTGAAGGTCTATGGTGAACTCAACTTTTCTGTTCACTGGTAGTATGAGAAGTTCATTAAAAAAAATATTTGGGAAGTCTCGGACTACTGGGATATCTTGAATACAAATTTCTTTCTTAAGTTTTTCCAGTGTAGAGAAAACAACCGAGTTAAAGCGCCTGTAATAAGGAAACTATTATGAGGGAATAATATTCAAAACTTTTATTAGTTTGTAAATGACTCTTCGTTAGGAGGTTTAAATATAATTTTTCTCGTGGAAACAATCCACGGTAGCTTGATACGTCGCTAACCAGTTCATTCTTGAAAATACATCAGGGTCCCCCGTATCAATCTCTATCAGTTCCATCATGGGTGAAACTAAGTATCGTGGAAGAGGGGCCAGATGTTGCTGGGGAGGAACTAGATGGCCTTGTAACAGTACTTGATGATATAGTGGGGGCTCCGAATTATATTGTGATGATGTCGGATAATACGACAGAGGAGTAGGGTTGCATCGATGTAGCGTTAGACATTTCGTTATAGGGGTGGCTCATATTGTGGAAGTGGTAGAGGGTCAGATAGTTCATTCCCCTCTTCCTTGGCCTATTAGGTAGAGATGAGTCTCTTTAAAATCTCGAATAGTCGATCGATATCCTCTCGAAGAAACCCGTCTCGGGCTGCCCTATTCATCTCTCTGTGTCCTTGTACTTATTTTTCATAAAGAAGGGTTGGACGATAATTCGTATTTGGTGTTTTTAAGTCTTTGTGTAAGGAATAGTTCCGAGGAATACGGCTCTGATACCAACTGTAAAGGCCCAGAACTTAAAAAGGTAATAAGATTATAAATTAAATGTGGAAGCGAAATAATAGAGTTTTAGAGTTTACATTTATTACATAATAATTTAGAATGTCCAATAGAGATACGAGAATATTCATTCTAAAAGAATAAACGAAAATAAAATAAATAAACAAAAAATAAATAACTGAACATTCTAGGACGACCTTCACTAGTTTCTGAAGGGAGTCTGAGTGGTGAACTTATAACCCTCTTGTTGATCGAAATCTGGGTCCTGATTTTCTTGATCTGAAATAGTTAATGAAATGGTGAGCTACACTAACCAGTAAGAATATCACACTACTCACTGATACAGAAACTAAAGGTTAGTAAAAATAATAAAAATAACTAATTGAGCTCTTGATTTAAGTAAATTTCTTTATCATAAGAAAAATAATTTATTACATATATTTATTGTTGCAAGATTTCTAAAATTAACCTATAAAGACAATTACTCAAATAATATTCCAAGCTCATATTCAAGTGAGTAAGAACAATAATTTTTTCTTTTTATTTGCCTACTAGTATCCCTATGGGCCCATAGGGATGTCCCACTATGCGTGAATCCATATCCAACATTGTCAACAAACCGGTTGTCCCCATACACCGTCCGGTATGAGCATAAAAAATATTATCCCTTAATATTCCATCTGGTATGAGAGTGAATCGAGTCGTTCCCATACCCCGTCCGGTATGAGCGCCAAAAATACCATTTATCGATACCCCGTCCGGTATAAGGCAACGTTCACGGTAGAGTTTCTTATGTACCCGGTCCATCCACCATCTTTTAGGATATTCAGTAAGGCTATCATTCATTAATTCATATGACCAAATAAATTTTTGTTTGCATATTAATTACCAATTTCACAAATCAACTGTAAATCACACAAGACAAGTAATATATATATCAAGGAAACATAATTGAATCATTTAACTATTCTAGTATATCATCATGTATTTAAATCTATAAATTCAACAATCAGTTAAATAGGACAACAAATAAATGACTAACCGATTTCCAGCTCCATTGGTAACTTGTAATTATTCTTAAAGTTTTCTAAATTACACAATATACTATATTATTGATTATTAAGCTTCAATTCCATAATAGAGAATTAGGTGAGAGATTCTTATCCGAATCGGTGTTCGAAATACCAAACTTTCTATTGCGCTTACTGGCAGTTCCTAAGTTTTCTAAATTTTCTTGGAGATTAAAATACGTTTCACGTACCTAAAAATACCATAAAAATCCAAAATTGGTGTCAAAAATCTTTTTCATTCAATTTTAGAATTCCAGCATGGTGTCACTGCCATGTTGCGGTGACAGACTGCCGCTACCTCAGCCTGATCGTTTTGGGCCAGTTTTGGCCAGTTTGACCGGTTTTATATCCATTTCTACGAGAAAACACATTAGAGGGTCTCTATTGGCAAAAAAAAAAGTAAAAAAAATAGAAATCTACTAGCGGCGGAATTTTATGGTGCAGCAGCTCCGCCAGCTCACCTTTATGGCTGGACGTTTTTCTTTGGTCAACCTGTAAAAAACAGAATGGTGAACATAATGGTGGAAAAATCGCACAAAACAAGAAATGAAAAGGGGCTCATCGGAGAAGATTTCGAGTTTTGCCCGTAGTTTTCGGCCCATCTACTGTTCATTTTGCTCCGATTTGGCTGTGGGGGTGCTCAGAATCAAATTCTGAGCGGATAGGAGAATTTTTACATTCTTGTAGTCGGAGATGGCTCCAACGCGGCGTTGGGCAGCGGTCGGCTCCCTTCTCTAGCGACTGGTTCTTCTTCTCCGGCAGGAGGCTGGTGGATAGGGTTTGGGTTTGGTGTAATGCAAAATATTTATACCCGTCTTGCTTAAATCTGGACCGTTTATCACGTTTGATCTTGACCATCCCATCGTGAATAAAGAAAAAATGAATCTGGACCGTTCATTGCGATTTGATCTCGACCGTCCGATCACATTTAAAGAAGAAATGAATATGGACCGTTCATCGCGTTTAATCGCGACTGTCCAATTGCGTCTTTTGAGGGAATGGATCTGGACCGTCCACGTGCACAGGAACGCTTCTGAACCGTCTGATCGCGGGACACGCAAATCGCTAGTGTGGCCTCCCGCGTGGCACCGAGTCAGCGTGTCTTGCCACGTGGTGCACTCAGGTTCGTCGTGGTTGCTGACTGGGTGGTCCTACGTGATGCAATTTTTTTTGTTGTGTTCTGACTCTTAATTTTCGATTTTTCTTTTAAAAACATAATCCGACCCCAAATTTTTACTATTTTTTCCTAAAATTATTTTCAATTTCGTTCTCAAACTATTTTTTTTTTCATAATTCACATAAAATTAAATTTTATTAATTTTAAAATTAAATTTTTATATATTTTTTAAAATTTAAAATTAATCCCGGACCAAATTCCAGGATCAAGTATTACAAACACCATGAACAAATAGCTCCATTTTTTTGGAACATAATCTTAACCATTTTAACGATTTAGGATCAGTTGTAAATTATTCATTGACCTGTAAATATTTTGTATATGAATGACACTCATTTGGCGCTTCATATCAATATATTTTTTATACTTTTATCTCAAAAAATAATTTAGATAAAAAAATAAATGAGAGAATGAAGAAATCTTTAAAAAAATTTAAGAAGATAACAATAAAGCACATCATGTGAACTCTTACTTTGCATACTCCAAATTAATCATATCATTTTCAGTATTTAATAAATCTACCATCTTTAAACAATTAGTAGGTGAGGCACTAATTTTCCTCATGCATTTAAAATAGATTTAAAGCTATTGCTTCGACAATCCTTGTTGAAGACATTAAACTCCAACCAACCTTCAAAATATGATTCAAACCCATTTCCCCTTGATGCTTTTAGCTTCAAATGGAACGAAATATACACATATACATATATATATATATATGTATATTCTTTTTTTTGGAGCCGAAAACTGCAGAAAAGCAAAATTATTGATAGAGAATTTAATTTAATTTTTTTTTTTAAAAAAAAAAAGAAAAGAGAAGAGAAAAAAGTGTTAATTACATGAATTAGATGAAGCATTACAAGGTCCATTAAGAGGCAAAATGTGAAGCAAAATTAAATTCTAATGAGCTGCATCTTCTTCCTCACAGAATTTGGTGTATGCCTTGGAGTCCATAAGAGATTCTAATTCTGATGGATTGTTAGGCTTCACCTTGATCATCCATCCTTCTTCATATGGACTTGAATTGATCTTTTATCAACCATGCATAAAACTTATTTATGTTAGAAAGAAACTGAAAATTATTGTGAAATTCATTTTGTAAGTTTTACTACGAGATGATAAAAATTAAATTTATATAAAATCAGATAAATTTTGAACTATATTGTTTCAATTTCATATAGATTTTTATTTTCTAATTAAGAAATGTATAATTTATCAATGAATTTCATGTTAATTTTGAATTTTTTTTGTTCAAACACAGACTTAACTCAGTTACAGTAGAAATTCTTCTTCTAAGATATAACGTAATATAGCCATTCTATTTGGAATTAAACAGTAACAAATTTAATTTAAATTATTATTTGTATGATACCATTATTAAAAATATTAATTTAATTTTTAGGAGCAGTAATATTTTGACTAATCAATAACAAGTTTGTGTGAGTATAATTTTGAATAACTATATGTAGATTTTTCCTTAAAAACATGTATTATATTATATGCAGATTTTAGTTTAACTTTTGCCAAAAAAAAAAAAATACTTTTAATTTTTGTCATTTTCTAAAAAAAAAAATATTTTTCTTAAAATTCATGATGGAATTTAAAATAAATCTTTATAATTTCATATGGTTAATTTTGTTGTATTATTCCAATAATTTTTACATTATCTCTTAGTAGAAGCAAATGTATAATCAATACATAGTCCAAGTCTCGAGTTTATAGACGATTTTTCACCATTTATTTGTTTCAGTACTAATTTGAGATTTTGAAATAAATTACTAATAACTTTTGTGAAATTCATTTAAAAAATTTTATATTAAAATAATAAATTTAGTCTGATAATGATTAATAGAAAATACAGAATATAATTTTCCCAAAAAGATAAGAGAAAAGAAGAAGAATTACCAGGGCAGGTGAGCCAGTAAGTGTTTGGTTGACCTCCACAACTTCACCAGAAACTGGAGAATTAACATCACTTGTTGCTTTCACACTTTCTACTGCTCCAAAGCTGCTTCCTTTGCTAACTGAAGTACCTGTTTCTGGCAGCTCCACGAACACAACTTCCCCTAAATGCTCCTGCAAATTCCATTAAACCCACAATTTAGTATTGATCAATAAACATACCCACCATCGAAATGGTTGGTATATCTAATATATAAAGTTGTATTTAAATGAACCTGAGCATGATGGGTGATGCCAATGGTAGCCACTGAACCTTCATGTTTCACCCACTCATGTGAAGCTGCATATTTCAGACCCTCCAACACTGCAACAACCATAAATTAACACGTATACCCATTTGTGTATATACATATACACACTCAAATTATATCTATATCTGGTGGAAGAGAGAGAGAGAGAGAGAGAGAGTACCAGTAGAGAAGCACCTGGAGAGAGAGAAGGGAGAGGAGAGATGGTGAGATTTTGAGGCAGCAGAGGAGAGTTTAAGGGCATTAGCGGTGGAAGAAGCCCAAATTCTGAGTGCCATTTTTCTTTTTGTTTTTCTTCTCCTCCACCAAAAGCTGCTGCCACAGACTATGTCAATACTCTCTATATATTTCTTGCCTTTGGTTTTATCTTTGATGTATGGTAGGCAACGAAAGCCTCATCCTAATATTATCAACCTACTTAACCCTCACTTTCTTTTTCATTTATATTTGTATATATATATATATATTATATTATATTATGTATTCCTATTTTCAAGTCATATATATATATATAACACACATTAACATCTTACATTATCTCTTTCCATATTCCAAACTAATACTCATCTTAAGCAAAAAAAACTAATTAAGTAATTATGAGATGAGCCGTATGGTAAAGAGAATGAGTCCACAGCTATGTGGATTTGAGACTTTTTTTGTTTTAATTTTTATAATGTAATTTGATATTTTAAATTGTAAAACAATTATTAGATTAAATGAAACCGGAGTATGAATACATATATATATATATATATATATATATATATATATATACATTTTATTTGTTGAATTGGGAATTGATTCAGACATTTCCTAATCATTATTTTTTAGCCTTTAATTATCCAATTCTAATGCCATTTGGTCCAGTACAAAATTGTAAATCCAAGACAACACAGAACTAAGCTATAACGCTTTGCCCATATAATAATTTTTTAATATAATTATTCAATAATTTATATACGTATAACCAGTAATTCGTACATGTTATAAAAAATTATTTCATATAATAATTATTTATTTAAATTTTTTAAATATTAAAATAATATGTAAATGCGATAATATTATTATGTAATTAATTTTTAGATGATTATAAACTTTAAAATTATGCACTAGACATAAACTTCTAACAGCTGTTTTTTTTTTCTTTCATTACAAATCAAGATATGATATATATATATATATATATATTTTTTACATTTTATATTAAAAAAATTTTACTAGATAATTTTTGTATTATTTTTTTTTAATATAATTATACAATTTTTTTTTTTTTTTGTGTATAGGGCATGTTGTGAGTCTAATTCGTAATAAAAACTTTAACATTATTTAATTGCATTATTACCATATATCATTTAAGTTATTGATTATAAATTTATTAAATTACTGTAAAATATTAAAAAATAAATAAATAAATTGACTGTAATGATACGATCCCTCCATAGGTATTATATGCAGGACCATCTAATAAAAGGAGAGTTACCATCTCTGTTGACGCCTAATTTCTTCTTCTTCCTACTATTATCATCTGTATTGTTTTAATAATATCAATTACTACTTTTTATTTACAATTTTCAAACTCTTATCAAAAATGTAATACGGACAAAATTTTCTGTCCAGATGTATAACAATATCATTAACCAAAAAAAAGTTATAATAAATCTAATAATAAGATGATTAATAGTTGAAAAACTAACATAATAATTTACTTTAGAAAAACTCAGTACACTTCACAAGTTTAAACGAGAGGCAACCATGATTGAGCTCGGAGAAAATCCAGAACAGTTGAAGCCTACTGTAATGTCAAGTAACCTTCATTTCGCTAAAAACATGTCTTGCGTTCATGTATAATCTATAAGCTTCCTATTTCTTCTTCCAATACCTTTCATATATGACATTCTCTTTTTGATGGGTAAATATAAAACTATCAAATGGAGAACACTGCATGAAATTTCTGTTCAAATATGCAGTAGCGCTGCCCCTCAACAGTCTGCAAGGCCCTACAAATTTATTGCCCTGCCTTGAAATTTTTTTCCCAAACTGCTAATATAAACTTCCGGCTAGCAGGAAATGAGACAGCCTCCATACCCTTGTTTAAAAGTAAATGTGTTTTAAAAAGCACAAGGGATTGCAATCTGTATACAAAAACTTCACAAGTCCATCAGCATATCAATCACGTTCCCTGAACTCTTACTAGTGTAAAAAAATTATTCTTAGCTAAAGAACCTAGAATCTAAAATCATGTATCATTGACCACTCTATGCCCTGGAAAGGTCTTTTACGAGATACAGTCCATAGACTTGAGTCACAAATTCAGCCATGTAGATTAAAAAGTGTAAATTATTTTATGCTATTGAGAGTCAAATTGTGCAAGAGTTTCCTCAAGGTTTGCCCACGAGGTTCCACCAAGAACTTGTAAACAAATTCTTCAGTTGGTTCATGATTCAATTCTTAAGCTAGAAATAAAATTTAACATGCATAATTTTGATTCATGTTCTTTGTATCCTTGATTATAGTTGGAGGATCAAGAGAAGATTAAAAGAAAACCTGTTATCATATTATCAAAGTCTAATTTCCTTTGCGCGTCTGGACATTTTGGGAACATATGTTGCTGATTTTTGGAACATGCAGACACATGCATGCACCAGATCTCCAAAACTTTTTTCAGCCACATTTTTTCCCGACTCCCTCCTAGTCCAGTCCTTTGCTCCAACGAATTAACATAATTTACTTTAGGAAGGCATATGAGCCTAGAATTCTCTTTGCCGCTCTTGATTTCAAGACAAAATAAACTTATGATTTTATAATATGGCTCAGTACCTAGATGTTCGTTTGACAGAGAAATATATGCAGACTTGTTATCTTAACAGAAAACTCTGGAACATTCAGTAAAATACATCTTTACAACCTGTCTGTGACTATTGAAAATTATACATGCCATGTATCAAGCTCAAAACTGACCTGTCCTGACATCTCTGTCTAGTCGGTCTGCATTTAGGGTTCCAGGAAGCTCTCTGAAGTCTTCATTAAAGATGGAGTATGCACTGCATATATTGCAAAGCAAAAAATAATTTAGGGGGAACAATTAGCTCTAACCTTTTTTAAAACAAATTTAATTAGAACTAATTGCTTTTGGATGGTTCTATTACCTTCTTTTTCCCCTCAGAAAATTATGCTTAATTCAGTAAATGAGGACATATTCTACTTTCATTTCCTATGCACATTTCTCCACATAAGTACAAGTTTTCTAGTACGTGTCTGGTATTTAAGCAGAAATAAAAGTTAAATTTCCAGGAAGCATTCAAAATGACATTTAATTAATTTCAATCTGAAATACTATTTTCATTTTACTGTCACTTTTCTTTTTTATATATATTTTTTCATTTTCGAAACTTTTTAATTGTCTTTTCGGAGGGACAGGGGAGGAGGGTTGAGAGTGTGATTGGTTAATCAGTAGATAAATGATTTTTTCTAAACCACTTATTTGCTCAAGGCCTTTAGGAATCAAAAGTTTCTTGCTTCGATGAAGTTTTCTAGTTACTTTTGCTTTCTTTTCAATCTTTACATTTTTGTTTTAATACACAATTTTCAAAATCAAGAAGCCAACATTATCCACTCTTGAGAATACCTGATGTCCCCCGGTTGCCGTTGTCCAAGATTCAGGAGAATGATTGAAAAGCCAGTACCAAGAATCTGCACATGTTGCAGTAGCAGTAAGCCTTATTATGCATGGATCTAATTGAACAAAGCAAAAGGAACAAGTAAATGCACCAACATATGAATCCATAAAATCAATCATTCTTGTCTTGTCTTATGGCTATCCCTGACATCCCATCTGGTACAGAAGAGACAAAATGGAACTGGCTAGAGCAAATTAGGAAACATTATGCTGAAAATCTCATCTACGAAGATAAATTCAACTTACAACTAAGCAGTTAGTTATGGCAATTGTCCTATATTATAAACACCTCCAGGGATTTAAAAAGGAGAGAAGGAATGGAGGTGTATACTAGACCCCCAAGGGAGAAGAGTACTCCCTCCCAGCTATCTAGACGCTTAGGAATCTTACAATCAACAGAATCCAAAAAAAAAGAACCATCTTAGAATTTCCCCAAAAATGTCGCCTAAAAGCTGCAAATTTTTTTCTTCAAAAGGCAC